GGGTTACGATTTCTTTGAACTTCGATCCGTGCGGTCGATTGAAGGAAACTAACGGTCTGATTCTAAAACTGGTAATGAACACAACGCTGTAACTTCAATGCACTAAAATATAATGTATTAAAATTTCGAGATTATAAAAGTCCATTTTTCCCTGCTCAGTTTGTTCGCTTTTATTACAAAGTTCGAGTGCTCCGGTTTGGCCCAAAAAACAAGTATATATATATATGTTTTTTCAGGTAGATACATCTGTTGTCCATAGGATTCTCTAGTTAAAGTAAACACGCGAGCAGTTCATTAGACAACAGTTTATAAGTACTTAATTAAATTTTGTTGATTTAAAGGCATATTAATAAGCAGGCGTTGTCGAGACTATATTCCCGGTACAAGAGATAATTTTGCGAATATTTAGCATACAGGCTCTATGGACGTTTAGCTAACGAAAAATGGCTATAGTTAAATACTGTATAACACTGTATAGAGTTTTACATATGTGTTTTACTTTAACAATGAGACAGGACGTATGAAAAACAGCAATTCTCCTGGTTGCTTCGGCATATCCGGCCCAATTTGTTGGGATTAGGATTTTCCGAAGCTCCCTTCTCTAAATCGCTCTAAGGGTACCATTTTGGGAGACTTATTCAAGGTATACGTTTGGCGAGTTACTTCGTACGATTTGGGCAAAAAGGTCAAGACTAACATAATTACAGCGTGAAGACAATACTTCTTGACTGTTGTCATAGTACTTGCTCATTTCTATTGAGCTGAAACCAGTCATTGCATCCCTTTTAACGTATGTGCTTCCATTACTAGAAACGGTTCAGTTGAAAACACCTCTTCTATTGTTGTATCTCTTGTTTACCTTTATACGGTTTGTAGAAGTTATTTTCCATGGGGCTAAAAAATGAGCATCTCAAGTGTGTTTTTTTTTCGTCCTATCTTACATATGGTACCTGTGCAGCGTTCTTTTCTTACAGTTGTACCTATGTCAAAAAACAACAGATTACGCGCATGTCATGACCAAAAGCGCATCGAGATCGATGCGTCTCCCAGACTGCGCGAAATTACTACTTTGGAGTTAATGTTGGCAGGAAAATATACGCGCTCCTTTCATGAGATGTGCATGCGTCAGACGACTATTCGTTAGTGTGCAGAGTACTAGTATCATCTTATGTAAAAATGTCTTATGCGAGTTAGCACAGCTATGACAGGTCAAAGAAGCTTCCGCTTAAGCTGCATGGGAACCTCGATAAGAGGAATGAGATTTGCTTCATAATTTCTTGCACTTTTTTTCTTTTTCTATTTATTTCTATTGAATATTTGATTCGATTTGTTACCTTTTCATTGGAACTACCTTACTTGGACTTGAACACAGTTTGGAAGATGCAATTCGCGCGGCAAGTTGAACTTTGGCAATTGCGAATATAATAGGTCTAACTTCCTCCTTGGAGAAATACAAACAATTTTAGTTAAAATGTGTTTTCCGCAAGTTGTCAGAGTCAAACGAATCCAATGTAAAACCAGTCACCCGTTCCAGTTAACTAAACTAAGCATCGTGTATTTCGATTCTAACGCATGTCAAGCCCTAAGTAGGAATCATAAGCTCTGAACGTGAATACTTAAGTTACTAGTATGTCAAAGCGAGGACCTCTGCAACTGGATAGTGTTTACTTTGCACGATCATGTGGATTATAGCCTTGGGGGTATCGTCTATGCAAGAACGTAAACTTCTTGCTAGCGGCCATGTTCTACGTATATATAGCTCTCGCGTAGAATTTAGAAGTGGTTGATAGCAACGGTGCCGTTACAAGGCCTAACCGTTCAGGGCGAGCCTTGGATTGTTTAGGACAGGTTTCTAAGTTTTGCTTTAAGTGGCAACAACACAAAAGGAAAACTATTCTCTTAGCAACCTAAACAGCTTTTTAACAAAATCTTCTGGATCAAATGCCAACTCTTCCTCGAAATCTTCATGACTGGTATAACCGATTACAATCATATATTACGTAGGTCATACATGTAGCACGTAAATAACATAGACATATCTTGTAGTCGTCTTAACGTTATCTAACCGCTTCTTACGATAGACACAAAGGCAGCTTTAGGCGGGTGAATAGTTGTACGATTATGCGAAGGAAAATTGTCTGTCTCGGCTTCAGGATAATTTCCTATATGTGAAAGGTTGATGTCCGAACAATGCGTTGAAATCGCTAAATAATAAAAGGAATACCTTTATGTATTTCTCAAATATCTTATATAAACAGTTTGAAACCTTTGTATAATATGAAAATAATAACAGCACTAACTAAAATAACATTTGGTAAGAGAATAAAATACAACGAAAAAAAAAAAGCGGTTAGCAAAAGCTGTACAGATCGAGCAATAACAGCGCTTACGACACAGACGACGTGGTGCCAAAATGGCTAAGCAAAAGGACTTCCATCAAGCCAACGCTTGTATTTTTCACTGGTATCTACGTAGGTTAAGTTAAAGTTAAATGAGTGTTTTCTATGAGGTAACTTTAAATTTCCACTATGCCAATTTGAGCATATTCAACTTATTTCAACTAAAGTGAATTGGTGTCGCAATTTTTGGCCATCTTCTTGCCAATTTAAATGTTCTTGAATACGTTAAGCATAATGAAAACCTACAATCAGTATGGTAAGTATAAGAAGACGATAACTGTAGTAACATATCTTCACTAAGCGGAAAAGGCAGTCTTACTGAGGATGCAGCTTGCCGATATATACCCGATATATTCGCTCCGGGCTCCATTATCAGCATTTCGCGGCTATGCGGGGCCACCACCCATACAGTATTCCGTGAAGTCCTAATACAGCTCCAGCGATGACACTTATACCCACAATAGGTGATGCATTCAGATATTACAAAGTTCGAAACTCAGGTAATTAAGCGTCCATGTACTCAGAGTCATGATAGCAACCCGCTAACTTGCGAATTCCCAGTTTCTTAAGCATGTGATAGTGAACATGTCTCAAAAAAAAGTGATTTTTAGGAATGTTTTGCTTCCGAATGGCTATCTCAAAATTACGCCAAGGCCTACCTACCTAAAAACCTATCTAGGTTAGACCTGTGTAGCGTTATATATATGCGTATATATACATGCAGTATGGTATCTATGTACAATAATCATTCATTAATAACAACTAGAAAAAGGGTAGACTCTGGGGTCATGTCTCTGCAGCGACCGCCCGCACAGCTTCGTGTTACATTCGGTTAGTTTCACCTAGTTACCTATTTATGTACCTTCTTGAGACGACAGTGTCGTTAGCTTTAAAAGATGCCAAGAAGATGTACCAAAAATGAAAAGAAGAACCGCTGTTCGTTAAAACGAGAATGAAAGGCCAGAGAAAAAAAACAGGTTTGTCCTGATACACCGTTAACTGGCGATATTTTCTTCACTCTTCGTGCAGGAAAGGACACAATATAGAGCAGAAGTAACCCATACTTAATGGTGCATACGTAAATGAACTTTCAAAACAAACTCATCCCACCTTCTCCGACACAGAATCCTCCCATTTGACGGACTGAGGGCCGTTCTTCGTATCAGAGTGTATTATTAGTTCATGGAGAGATATAATCAAGAAGACTTGTTGTTTAAAGCTTTGTTATCACTACTAACCAAATAACTTACCCATTTCGTGGAACGTCCCAAACGAATCTCTCAAAAACAGCATGATTTCCGTCAGACCATGTCCATTAGATCATGCGATATCGTTGTTGAAAATCAACGTCGCATTGATGACGCGCTGACTCGATCTCTATTGCGTTTTTGCAGTTTGCAGTGGCCTCAAACTTTCTATTTGAAGCCACAGACTCCTTTTCAATCCTTCAGGCCTTCTTCTATAAACATCCGTACATGCCTTTTTTACAAAAAAGAGAAAAACAGAAATGTGTTTGATTTTTCCGCGCTAAAAAAAGAAAACTAGAAACAGTCAAACGAACCAATCTCGTACCAGTTGACCATGGCCTCGTTCAGCACTTGACATTTAGGCACAATGTGATTATTTAAATTTGTTGTTACTCCGTGCTTTGATAATAATTTACAGAAAAAAACAAAACACTCGTTTTCCACGCCAATGCCCTAATTTTTTCCATTTTCCATCACGTTCACCGGCCTATTGAGGTTTGTGTTTAACGTCTAAAAAGCCAAAGTGGTGAAGTTCCGAAGACGTAGACGATTCCCTGTTACTGACCTCTCCTGTTTAGGCAATAGTTTCTTCGCCCCAACGAATTCGTTTAGCCAAGCATTATAATTATTTATCGTTGAAGATCTTATTCCCGTAACATTGATGAACGGGTGCACAAAATTTTGGCACAAAACACGATTTATTTTCAAGGCTAACGCTCCGTTGCCTTATGATTTATTCTAGCCAAACTAGCAACTTCCTTCTGCTCGACCGCAATGTCTTACTAATAATAATTGTATAGGATATTTCTTTTGTGGACGCTGATACGAATTAACTTATGCCAGATATATGATAAAGTTCCACGGGTTGTGTTAAAATCGGTTCTCTTACTTCCTTTGCAATTCACAGGCCGACATAGATTGCTTTATGACTGGCGTAACGATAAACGATTGTTTGTTCATGGGCAAACTAGATTTACAGTATTTAACTTCCACAGTATACCGTGTCCTATAACCGCAAGGATTTTATGAGCTAAAAATGAGGTAAAAATATACATTCCTGTTCTATTGGTATCTATCTTCGTCCGCGTAAAGGTATAAGACAAAAAGTCGACTGCTTAACCTAATTTATGACGCGTATTCGAAGCGTATTCGCAATCACACGTTATAGAGCCTTATAGAGCGTTATAGAAGCAACACGTATCGTCGCTTATAGTTACTGATCGTAAGACGAAGCGAAACTATTTCAATTACAATTAATACATACGAATATAATTTCTAGCAGACGAACAATAAACACACATACACACACACAGATGTGTATTTTAAATATATTTTATTATTAATAATTATTTTACATTAAAGTAAATTTCTATTTATCTAGACGGTTCTGTCTTCTTGGGTGCATTTATTATATATAGTTTTTTTTTTCATTCACTGAATCGCGTCGCTTGGTTGTTATCATTATTATGATAATTCCCTTCGCTTGAAACGACACCAAGGACAGTCTGAAATGATAGTGTTGGTTGAGGAGCAATAGCTAAAAGGTTTTTGGTTTTCTGCTTTCTACAATGCCGGTTCTATCTGGGTTTCGGTATTAATCGTAGCATTATTAACCACCTTCCCATTTAGCGTTATAGCGTACGTGAGTAGCCTGCAAAAAATTTGGTCGATATTTGTCAAAATCCGCCTTCTTCTCAAAGCCTGTCGCGCCCACGGGCGTATGTGTATATGTCTGTTAGATGCTTCCAGGATCTGTGTCGTCGTTTATCGGACGCGTTTGGAAGACATATGTGCACATAGAGCCCAGAGCTCATATACAGGACGTCCATCAAAGCAGCCTTCAACCAGTTATCAAAAGCACGTTTTGACGCAGAAAGCTTGTACGTTCTTAGTTAAATATATTTAGATTTGCCAATCATTGCAATTGCCCTTCTTCGATAGCTGTTAACGCATAGGTTATCGCTGGTATTCATTACTGCGACAAGTTCTGTATGTACAGGACGGGGTTCCTTTAACAAAATCTATTCTGTTCCAGCGTTCATCATCATTTGCTTTACCATTTCCACGAAATTCTTCCATCATCCTGTCTTCAGTTTGCTGGCCTATCTCCTTTAGCATCACTTTCAGCCACACTTGCCTTCCAACCAGTTGCAGGAGCCTTGCAGGATGGCTTCTCCCTATCTGAATAGAAATTGCGCATAATCAAAAGAATCATCTCAGCCCTATTGATTATCACCACTATTGGACGTAAACGTACTATTATTTCATAATCAATATTTATTATTAGAAATTTAGAATTTTATTACTCTCGCTTCGTTTCCCTTGGTTGGCGCCTCGCCCAAGCAGCGTCTACTACCCTTAGATAAAGACTACACTGCGCTGAATTGATCAATTGAACCGTTCGATTTTTCCTTCTACTGGTTTATTGTATCGTACTCTCTTTTTATCGTTCAATTGTCCGCATTATTTATTCATTTTTTTTGCTCCTTTCTCGTGTCCATATCTAAATATCGCTCTATCTAGCTATTTATAGCACTCTGTGTGTTTCGTTCCTACCGTCTACTCTATATGGCGAAGCGATTCGTGTTTCGTGCCTGCACGTATGTCTTCCACGCGCGAACTTCCAACGTTCCTCTTTTATCTTCCTACATCACCAGTTGTTTTAATTAGTGATTCATACACAGCCATCCTTGTGGACGACACACTGTGAGTGCTTTTGACATCTACACGTACGTTTATATATATTCCTAATTTCTAGACCCCCTCCCCCCCGCCTCCTCTCTGCGTGTCGTTTCACGTCAGACGCTGTTCTTGGGTATTTCTTACGGCGTTGGCTTTGTCTTTTTTTTTTTTTGCTGTCTCATTACACGCGTACGCCATTTCATATAAACAGATCATTTTTCCATGTTTTTTGTGTCTTCGCAAAGCTAGTCGTTAGTATCGCTATTGGTGTTGGCGTATATGTTGCTGTTTCATAGTCTAACTACTTATTCTACATCCTAATTTCATTTTCACTGACTTATTATTAGTTGACTCGATTTGTTTGGATTCGTGCGTTTAAAATAGCCTGTTTGTCTTCTAACCGTCTTTAAGGGCCTACGTATCGCCTCTTTGCGATATAGATGTTCCAAGCAGCTCGTGTTCACGGTCAGCTAGTCACGTCCCGTATTATCACGACTGTTCGCATCTTCTTGGCATCAGTCGCCATTATTACCATCATTCATATTATATTTAGTTTTATTTTTATTGCTAGCACTCAATAGATATATGTATATAGCTGTATATAATAATTAATCTATTACCAGCGGCGCCGCATATAAACTTGCATATTCACAATTAACTATACACAATTGGTTAAGTGGCAACGGATCCCCCGATATTGAAAAATGTGGTTCTTCCCAACTGGCCCATATGCCTTTCCGGCACGACCTCATGTTAGCTCACGAGCGACGACAAATCTACCTCAATCAGCGGTTCTTACATTCAATCCGCCTCCCCTTTTACAACAATATTCGATGGTGCATCCTTATTTCAACGTCATTGAAGGCTGCCAAAGTCCTGTCTCACCTTTGTTTTTCTGTTTAGCATCTCAAAGATCTAGCCTAATTGTCGTTTGGTCGCAATTGATTACTGCGACCTATCAAACCGATAAATACGTAATTGACATGAGTCACTCTGCACTGCAGCACTTTTATCATTACTGAGGCTTCCCTGTTGCTTTTAACCGAACCCAGATTGGCCTTAGATCCATCTTGTATCATAATAACCATGCCGATTAGATGTAATGTATGTCACCCCCATGTTCTCATCAGGTGTAACTGGTGGCTATGTCCTCATAGTGTTCGACTTGTGCTGTTCGTATTAGTTCTATTGTAAGAGGATGCAACAAATCTGTGTGGACAGTTCTCGGATGAGTCGTTTTAGCTCTGTGGCTCCTTAGTGGATATCGTCATAATTAACAAGGACGTCAAAGTTGCCGGCAAGACGGTGTTGCATAGGGGTCCGTATGGACTCGGTTGACCGTTGACATCGCCGTTCTAGCAGATCCTGTTCAGGATGCATCTTCCTCTTCGCCAGTTTCAAGGAATTCAACGTGCGTGAAGGGAAAATGTCCGGTCTTGCCACGAAGCTCACCTTCCCATTGACCATTTTTGTGCATCGCTGTCACCAAAATAATGTCGCCGATCTAAAAAAATTAACGAAATTTATGAAACACAAACATAGACATATTCTTCAGCACGCATTTAGTTTCAACAGAATGAATGAATATAAATATGTACCCCTGAAAAATGTATAATTCAGACATAACTTACTAGTAGGCAATACTGGATTTTGTTATAATTTAGTGACAAATTAACTTGACGATAGGTCCTTCGCGCAGAGCTGTTATTTTTTATTATTAAAATAAGTGCTACCACAAGAATTTACAGTCATTTGCTCGGTTAAGCATTCGAATGTCGCATTATGACATGTGAGATTCGAATACATCAGCTGTGGGTCAAAAACATTTGTTGACTTATTTTTTTTTTTCAAACAACAAGTCGACCCTTTACACCCATGTCACATCATGGGTCGCGGACAAAGCCGGATTAAGAAGCGTCTTGTTCGCGCACAAGAAATGCTCACGCTCGCCAGCGGTAAGAAATATCGCTTACTCATGTAACCCTGCTTGAATAAAAGTTAAACTAATTAGCAAATCGTTCGGCTGAGAACAGATACCAAACTCAACATCGTACCCCCTGCCTTGTTACCACCAATAAAAAATGCTTTTCATCTGCAATACGCGTGCCGTTAAAAAGATACATATGCGACACCCACGTAATTGGGGCATACGGCAATTAAGGTAACTGAATGTTATCTGCGTCTTCAATGCTCCACTGCTATGGCTGACACGGATCTGATGCCGTGTTTACAGTTGATCTTCAAAGGAAGTACTCCTTCGGAGTCATTTTCGCTGGCGCTAGCACAATCGCGACCGTTTCTGTTCCCACGGCTTACCTAAGAACCGAGTCAACTGTCCGTTAGATCATTTTCAACGGAAGTCTAGATCTTGCAGTTGTGCCTTCGGCTTTGTATGCCTCGCCCGACCCGACGTAATCAGAAAGAGACAATGAAAAAAAGCTGAAGCCCCTTGAGCTGAAAAACAGATCCTTCCACTAGGGGTATTGCTCTGTACCCTCAACGTCCCCCAAGACAATCTCATTGGTCCGGGCTATGGCAAGAAGATTTGCATAGAAGCTGAGCGTGTTTTACTTCTTCCAGCTGAGTCTCCTCTTGCATGCCTCCTTTCCAGCTTCTACAAGCGACAGTTTAGCTCAGGATAGCGTAGCAGAGATTGCGTCAATTGGCAAAATATTAACAACGAGATGAGCCTATCCTGCAGATGGTAACGCACGCGGATTCCGGTACACCTTGTGACATTTTCCGACAAGTGCCATTCACGCTTTAATAACGTGGCCTATTTATCGAGGCACGTAGCAGCATTCATAAGAAGCCAGAGAACTTTGTTCAAACGTAAAATCCTGTCACCTGCTCTGGTATAGTGAAGCAAATGCTCGATAATTGTAGGCCTTGCACTCCGTTACGGCAGGGAATTGTCCTAACGACCATCTACCACTCTGCTCAGCCTGAACCTTCTCCGCTACCCCCCAGTTCAAGGGTATAGCGAAGCTACAAAAATGAAGCGGTCAGGAAAAGGATGTCGGGTTTAGGGTCGACTGTCCTTTTCCGACCGACTTTCGACCGCAACGGGTCGTTTCAGATTTGCGAGCTATACTCAACAGAGATAAAACATTCATAGCGACCTTGGCTGTTTGTCCATCCACACAAGGCAGAGATAATTTTCTACAGAAAGTCGCTCGGGCCAAACAATAGATAGAGAAAGGAATTCACAATGATATAGCAGAGAGTTTCTCAATAAAGAGAATGTACTGTGCTTTTATAGCTTGAATTGCTTCGTACGATACCAGGCAGAGCCAATATCGTCTACGTCACTCCTCATACGTTTTCATCCAAAAAGCTAACGTCACGAAATTTTTTCGGACGGACGATCCAGTCATACACCGTCGATTCGCGAGTGGGCCGAATTGGCATGTTTCGCGAGAGCGAAACAGCAAAATCTTCTATCATCTTCTTACTAAGGGTCGTTCGGTAACCAAATGGCCATTCGTTAGATGAAACGGACATTAGCTCTTAAGCACTCGTTTTTTTAACCGTCCTTTTTAGGCAAACCTGCTCACTTGAACATGAAAGTCTGAAAATCATGGAACAATCGACTGAAATCCAAAAAAATTTGTGAGCAGCTTTATGAAATTATACACATTTACTTTGCTCATTGTTACGCTGGGAATGCATAATGTTACTAGTAATGATTAGAGCAAATGCATTGTTAGCTTCTGGAGCTTTAGGGAAACATTCTACAAATGCTGTGTCATTTTATTTAATTTTTTCTAATTTGTACCGTAGCTTATTTTGCTTGCGAAACTAAGATCATCATCCACAACCAAATTTCACCTAATATTTTCTCTATTTACGTGTCAATCACCGAAAAAGTAAGCCACTTTATTACAAATACTTACGTCGAGACGAAGTGCCGTCTTATCGTAGGCGTTTGGGACGCGGGCCTGTTTGACGCGCGCCTTTGCGGGAAGTTTCCGTTCTTGGCTGTTGCGCTGGCCATTTAGAGTACCCCCGCTGGCTACGTTTGCGCTGCAGCCACTCGCTCCATTTATTCCTGGGAGTCCTGCTGCGTTTTGCGCTTGACCGTTATTTGCCGGCACGTTAGTGCCACTGACCTGCGGCGTCGTATAACGGATGTTACTAGAAGAGCCGTTTGGACCTGGTCCAGTTCCTATCGAAGCTCCGTTGTTCGATGGCGGTTGCGGCGGCGCTGGTGGGGTAGTCAACGGTGGAGGAAGATGTCCCGTGATGTTTCCGTTGACTACGCCCCCTGAGGCGCCCATCGGATTGCCTCCTAAGCCTCCGGCGATCAGGGCACCGTCCTCCAGCTGAGGTGATTCGACGAGAAACGACACCAGTGTACACGGGAAGAGTCGTAACGAAGGCGGAATCGAGGATTTCGTAGGATGCGCCCGGACAGCGAAGATTGATAGGTTGGACGTTGGATGCGTTTATTGATGAGAGTAGTAGGCGGTATCAGTATAAGGTTATAGGGAACGTCACACACGGGTAAATGGGTAATCGGAGAACAGGCATTGGGAACGACAATAATCACAAAAATGTTTAGTAGTATAGAGACAATGAATAATTTTTATTAACAAGAACACAAATTGTCATTGCATTAATGTTTGTGGAAGAAACGCACTTTGTTGGGTTATGAGCAGTGCTGAAGGGATGAACAGTTACCGAGTAAACTGTATGTTCACGTGAATAAATTACACAACACAACCAAAGCGTTAGGGTATAAAGTTATTGTAAAGATCGTTCAAGATAATAAAAAGTATTCAAATAAAAAAAGCATCAATTTATACATTGTATCACTAAAATATAACGTACGTGACTAAGACTAAAGTATTTTTCTCGTTACGTTACATAAATTGTTGACCAATAATTTCACATCCAACGTCTGCCGCTTGTATAGCGGCTAGTCTAAACTGCCAGACAAAAAAACTAAGTGAAATATAAAAATTATAAAGTCATGTTATGTTGAATGAAACTTACTAACGCAATCAGTCCCAAACGAGGCACTCCCAAACGGTCAACAGTCAACAAACTTCTCAACAGTCTCACACCCCAGTGCAGGTAACTTTGACAAACGTCCGGGTTTCAAAGTCGTTTCTAAACCTAACTCGATTCCCCCCCCCCCCCCCACGCTACTGTCGCCGTCCGTAACTCGAGCAAGTTGTATATGCATATAACAAACAGACGAGAAAACAACGCTCAGTCGTCTTTCTTTAAAAAAAAAAAAGACCATAAGACAGTTTGTTCGCTGGGCTTGTCTCCGATGCTTCGTGATTGTCATAGTGTGTTTCATGTTTACAATTTCATCATTGTATTGTCGCGTTCTATTGTATATCGGCGACGAAGGTACGAGTGATTATGCCACTGTTTTTTTTTCGCACGCATTGCAACCACCGTCGTGTTAACCATTTCTACATAAATAATGCTGTTAGTCTATTCTAATCCTTTTCGTCTTTCCTGTTCGTCGACAACGTGTCATCGTCGGCTAGTATCTGGCAAACTTCGCAGGGACGAAGTTTGCTATGGAAATCACAACAATCACTGAGTATTTACGTCGTCAAGCAAAACATCGTCCTTCAATGTTGTGGTGTGGCCACTTGAAAACATTATGCGCAGATCTCCAATACAGCTACCACTATGCAGCTGGTAAGGTCTCGTAGTTGCAAGATGGTAACGGCGACTCGTAACAAGCCTCCTGATTTCAGTAAGGGTCAGAAGCAAATCCACATGAGCTTAATCCCTTCCCCGCTTCCCGACTTCCACCCGCTCCAATTTCTATTACGTCCCAGCTACAACTCAGCAGTTATGGCTCATACACACCTATTGTAAGAACATGTTTATTCAGACAAAGCATATACAGGGGACTGTAAACCCCCGTAGGCGACCAATAAATGGTGCCTCCGGCGGGAAAGGAAAGATCCAGTATTTGCAAGCTGTAGGGTGCGCCCACACACTCTTCAAGATTAGTGCTAGCAGTGATAGCTGCAATTGACTGATACCACAGCATTAACCCGGTCGGCAACTGACTCGCAGACGGCACTCATCCAGAAGCTTTGCAGGTTTCCTTAGCTCACGGGGTCCTGCCATTAGCATTACTACTGCCACTCCTATTGCTAGTGATGGTGCAATTTCTCATTCAATCCGCATTGTAATATTCGACTGGACCTCGCGAGCTTTGTACGTTCCGGTACGTTCTTCAACGTCCTCCTCACAGTTGGCCTGTTCACCTAAATTACGGACAGCATACTACTCTCAGAAACACACTTTACCGACAAAACTCCTTGTCCACTGGCACTAGCGATGGGTTTGGCCTAACCATCACTAGTTTAAGCCCCCCTGTTCGTCCACGGCTTGCCTCTCTGCACAACGTCTACCGTCAGAGCTCCGTTGGATCAATGGCCTGCCCCAACGAAGCGGTTCGGTACCCTCTGACTCGTGCTACCGTTCACGGTCCCGTGAGGTGACCCTGCACTACTTCGCGATGGCTCTGTGCGAGCCAGCAAAGCGTTTTTACTCTGGTAAGTTGGTTGTACAGGGCGTGATCTGGAGGGTAACATCCTCAGCTAATTAGCAGAATATGCAGGCAGATGCCGAATAAAAATTAACGACGATAATTATAACGTGGTCCGCAGACGGAAAAACCACATTAAATATTTTTTCACTTGGAGAATTTTTTTCGAAACGATAGGAAGTGGCTACCATGTCGATGGGCCTGGCCAACGTTCCTCTGCTTGACGTTGACTGAACGCCGAATCGTTGAATCATAAGACAGTGCTAAAGCAACACTCATCGCAGTATCATTAAATCACGTACTTGGATCAAATATTATGCAATTGAAGATGAATGAACAGCGTTAACTTGAACAATCGTCTTATAAGCCTCTATATAAGTTGGTATTTTATATGCTAAGTGTTGCGGAATAGTATTCTCTAAACTGTGCCTATTCGAGCAGCTTCAGGTGTGCAGAGTATCAGCTGCGTCCTGTACATCTAGCGCGTCAAAGAAATATTTGCAGCGTGACATTGTTGATATATATGTCCTTCACGTAAGGACAAACACTGCTCGTTCTCTTGCCCCCGCAATACTAAAGAGCAAGAACGCAATGTGTATTTGATTTGCGAAAATTGGCTTCGGTATAGGTGAACAATCGAGACAAAAACTATGGAGAAAAATATGTGAGAGTATTTTCAGTTGCTTTCTTTTGGTTATCTAACATCTGCTGTTAATAGAAGAAGGAAAAGTACTTCTAATATGGAAGGGCGATTTAGTCATATACAGACATGCAGACACTCACTCTTAGCAACTGTGATTGTTAGTAAACTACTGTTGGAATAACGGTACCACCGAGGAAGTTAGTTAAAAGGAAAGCTGAAAGATGAAATGAAAGAAACATTAATTTAATCTAAAGGAAACAAAAAAGAGGTGAAAGATACAGAAGAAACAGATATGGGAGACGTCAGCGAAAAGAGTAAACAGAATGCAAACTGTGTAGACAATAATATTGTACATTGATAAGAAAATGATAGATCGTCTTTAAATGGGTTACGTTGGACGGTTTTTTATATTTACCGTAACTGATATTTTGCGCTCCCCGGACACATTACAATCCGCATCTTGCCCCTGTTTTTAATATTTAATACTGAATGCCACTTTTGGCAACAAAGAAAATTGCAATGGTGTTCGGTATCTCAGTCAGTTGCACTACCCTTTAGCAGAAGATATGCCCTACTAGGTGAAGCTACAGTTTCCGGCACAGATATAGACAGCAAACGAAGTATCGCAAAAGGCAAACGTTCACCTATACAGTGTCGATAAAGTAGGGAGAACATGAAAACAGAAGTAAGCCCAGAAATAAGTCAACAAAATGAAATATTACGTCAGCCGAAAAATGAGCATCATGTGATGTCGCCCACTGATGGCTCTTCGGACTTGGCCCTTTTAACCAACTGGATAAATGACAAAAAAGAAGCGGGAATTGCGAACTCCGAAGACCAGCTTATTGTTTGCTTCGAACAAGGGCACCGAAGCTGACAAATGCGCGAAGTTGACATAAAAGGCAAGGTCAAGACCATCAATGATTTATTTTACCATTGCCTCGATGATTGCTAAAGAAGGCTGCATTCTAGATTACAGCCGTCTTAATTTCGGTGAAATATACCACTAAAATAATGATCACTATGAACACAATTTTCAAATCACGTGAATTAAGGATCTTTCGATATACCCTGCACAACATGTGTTTTTCTATAATTATTGCTACAACGCCTTACTCGACCACATGCTGAAAGCAAAAGAAGCTCCTTCTGAACCTTTCCCATGGCTTGCCACGTAATGCCTCGAGAAAGGTGTGCTTCTAAAAACATGATTTCATCGTCATGATGCCTTGCTCCGTATCCTTTCTATCCAGTGGCAGGCAACGAATTCACATATATGAGTGGCTCTATTGACCTACCGGAGTGCTTCCGTACGAACCGTTTCTTCCCTCTGTCCAATGATCGATCTTACTGAACCGTTAAATTGATCAGAAAGATGAACAAACAGCTACAATAGCACTAACTTCCTTTTTTTTTTTTTAAAAAAACTTTTTCTCGTTTTACTGTTGTCGCAAGTACAATGGGTGCAACAGCAAAAAAAAAATCAATAATTTCAACTGATATATGTATTACGATTAGTGGCGCTGCTTTATCTGACCGATGGTGGGGGGATGAGTCGACCGAAGGCCGACTCAGTCCACATGCGTTACTGTCAAGTCGGCCGAGGCCCGCCTCGAATCCTCAAAGAAGGACCAATCTAGTATGGTTTCTTGCTTTTCGTGTCAATTTCTTACCTTCTCGATGTAATTAACGGGTATCTGGCCCGTCTGTCCAAGAGAGTTTCTTGCTGTCCACCACTGGTCTTCGTCCTTTGAAATGACCGTCAATACTTCACCCTTTCGGAACGGAAGATCGTCCGTATCACCCTATAGGCACAGATATTAGCAGTCCATAAATTAAGTAGAACCGTGTTATTATATTCTAGACATGAGCTTCCTTTATGATAAGAACGGCGTAATACACAATGGACAATTATCACATTTATACGCAGCGGCAGGATAACTGAGAAAATATGAATAAAAGAAAAGGAAATGATGTAGAAGGATGTAATTAAAGAAAAAAAAAAAAGAACAATTTACTTACACATAATAAATTTAAAGGCGCACTGCTCAGAAAGCAATATCAGCTACAACAAACGAAATATGTAGTCATTTCTGAACATTATTAAAGGCACATACGCAACGTTTCCACGCACACTCCCACAAAACAATTCCGTTATATACATATATTCTATTGTTCAGAGAAAAAAAATCGGATACCTTCTAATAAAACGTAGCTATTTGAAGCGAAACAATAATTATAGCTTCTTTTCGCAAAAATCTAAATTGAGTTAAAAGAAAAATTTGTGTCACCATAGGGGCAAATGTGTTGCAATAAACAAAGCACAACCAGCAATTATAATTCCAACGTTCAACAAGAATTTTCTGTAATACACTCACGACTAAATCTAATGCCCATCGTTATTCGACACTCCTTTCCGATATACCTTACACAAGTATCAGCTGAAATTAGAACAATTGAAAAGAAACGAAGACCTTTTTTTCAACTTGAGTACACTTGAAACTTCCTGGAATTTGCTTAACGCATTCTCCGTGGGCATAACGTATGAAGCGTTGACAGACTCAAGCAAAACGTTGATGAATAGTTCCTCCTTTTTCTTAGCTTTACCTAAGATACTCACGCTGCCATTGAAGTCGAATCGTGCGCGGACCCTCTCTGCAGCTTCTCTAGGTTTCGCTGCTGGCCGTATCAGGGGCGCTGTGTCGAGGTAATGGCTACGGTAAAAGTGTAGCAGGGCCGGCATATCAGGGAACATCTGCTCGCCAATTTTGAAACGGGTCTGAACTCCTTGCGAAACTTTGTGGATGATGTAGTGTGATACTCGGGTCTCCTCGCTAGTCCGAGTAGCGTTTTCGATAGGAGTATTGATGAAAGCAGATCATAGTAAAACGGTAAAAAAAAATTCAGTTAACTCTAGTATTAGAGCAACAGTCAAATACAGATGATAGATATAATGATGATCTATTATGTCATCCGAACGGTACTGAACGAACAATGAGGATAGGTGATTCTTCGATTGCATCTGAGAATGGTGTCGGTCCTATGCAGCATTTTAAGACCACGTAACAAGATGTTTATACCGTATCAATATATGTGTATCCTTATGCCTATTTATGTGGGCAATGACAATAGGGTGTATGAAACAGCTATGAGAATGGGTGGTAAAATTCAGCAGTATCTTATTTAGAGTGTTGAATGAGTGCGATAATAATAATTAGTGATGACAACAGTAATATTATTAATATTTTAGTTGCTGGGTCTTCAAGCGTTCAGCAAGGCGTCAGCTTCATTACCGATCCAGTGATAGCCCCATCGTACGTAAGCAGTTCCTCAAAGAACCCACAGCTTTTTTTTTAGACGCTTTGCAACAATGTACGCAGTAGTACTCTGCGAAGCTTCGAATGAAGACTTTCTTTAATCTCTGCCACCGAACAAACATCCTTAAAACATGCACCATTCGCATTGCACATTTGCAAGGATTAGGCCAACGTTAGTTACCCCGCTACTCCTTAAATTTGATCTCATAAGGATATAATATATATATTTCTATAAGTAAAAAGGGCCTATAAGCTATAAGATTCTTTGTCCGGCCGCGTTCTTACTCCCCGCCCCCCACGTAAGCAATGGCATGGCATGTTGTCATAACCCTCGTCAGAACGTTATTATTACTATCAGTGGCGTAACAACATCGATAGTGACCTTTGATCATCATAGTTACTAAGTCAAGGTCATCAAATACAGACTGCCGAAATTTTGTTTCAAAATCACACATAAAAACTCATACAAAATATAACTGTGATATAAAACGTGCTCAAACGCCATAATACAATAATTCAGAGAAATTTACAAATTGTTGTATGGCAGTAGCACCAACGTAATGTGGTACTTTACGTCCTCCGTATCGAGCAAATCTTATATTGACGCCTGACAGAAGAAGCGTAGCGACAAATAATAAAAATCTCATCAGACTTAAATGAGGCATTTCGCGTACGACTTCATACAGGAAAGAACGGTGAGCCAACAGCAGAGCTCACCAACTAATCTCTCAGTTCCAAACTGTCCCCATTTGGCCCCCTACAAAAGACGTGGCTATATTTATTATCTAACTAGTCGCATTGGTGGAAGGGATGAACTGTGTTGATCATCACCTTAGACGCACTATGTAACCGCAAAGCCCCGTACGATACGCTTATGGAACGCACGAATGAGCGTCGAATTTGCCCACATCATCACCGTTGTCGGTTCGCTGATAATAGTTAACAAAAACATTTCAAATTTACAAATCCTATCCGTTTTCTTTCAAGTCAGACACATAACAACGAAAACTGTTGTCGTTTGATCTGCGCCCCTATAAGTTTTATCCGTTTTTACGATCCAGTGCTATAGGCAAAATCTACTATTTGTGAGAAATGAGGATGGTATACTTACCGAACGCATAGGACGAGGTCTCCTTGAATGGTGTTCGAGTTTCGCACGAGAAATACTCCTGGCTCTGATTCGCGTTGTAGAAGTTCGATTGCTTCCTGTCGAGACATTGGCCCGAAGAACCAACTAAACACAGATGGAAAAAAAAATAAAAGGAGGCACAATTATACTTCTAATTCATATCGACTCTTGGATCATATATAGGGTTCTAATTTAGCGTCTAATTTGAAGAGCATTTTCATTAGTTACAATTCTTTTTCATCTTTTCATAACCCTGAAACTCCCCAGAACCTAGAAGATGTTCTGTTAACAGAGATGTTTTCCCAAGGACACCCAAAAGAATCTTCTTTAGAAGCTCGACGGTCTGCACAACTGCACAGTTAAGACGCTTGTCCACGTTTTCGTCCCCTAACAAATACCAGAGCCTACCAGGGTTAGCGTAATAACACTATCGGAGCATTGTCAAAATTACATCAGTCAAAACAAGTTTATCATAGCAATCACTAAAAGCAATCCTAGTAAATTCGAGCAATTAGAATCTGGCTGCCTCTGTGCCAATGAATGAGCTGTATGGTATTATGGGAGCCACGATAGGCTGGTAAAAGACATGCTTGAGTTTTGATAACTGCTGAGTCTCGGCAGAAGCATATCTTCCGCTTTTTTAGAAATCTCTATCGTGACTAAAAGGAAAATTCGTCGAGGGAAGAAATAAAAAGGGAACAGAATCCGTGTAAAAGTCGATATATTTCGATACGATGGCAAGATATGAACTTTTTTTGTCAGTGTTATATTTAGGTCCAGCATAAACACAACTTAAAGTTTTTGACGCACTGGTGCTTCCCTCACGGTCTGCTCAATTCCTAGGTATTTTGGCTTATGTTAACATCAGCCATTTTTGCGCTAATAATATTGGCCAAACAATCCATTAGACTAGCCGTCAACTAATGGCTTGGGTCGATTTAAGCATTAAAGCTAATGTGAAGCTGAATTGGTTTTTAAGGTACAAGTAAGATTGAGAAAAATAACTTCATATTACGAAGTTATTTTTGCTTACGTATTATAAAAAAAATCTCATGATCCTCTTTTGAGCAGCTAATACGAACGTGAACTTTTAAAAAACTGACGATTCTATCAGGCATATATCAGACAGTATTCATTCTCGTTCCACAAACTAATAATAATAGTTCTTAGGATACCCTCTCCTCCAACAAGGTTCATCCGACAAATAGCATCAGGCTAAATCCGCGCGAACCCAGTGCACTACAGAGAAGTTAGTGCCTAAGACGTATCTAATGTGTTTCGCAATAGCCCTCCTGAAGTCGCTACCGACCCAGCTGAAGTTGTAATGGCCATTCCGTTGAAGCAATCGCGGTCGTTGGCTTCGGCTTTTCTTTGTAAAAGTGTTTTCTGCTTGTCGAAATCGTGACCGATTCGTATTTAACTGCTGTATTTATTAAGGAAGATACGTATATATACAGTTTAAGCAAGAACTGCTTGCACTTACAGACACACAGTTAGCCGTAACGATTTAAGAGACGGCAGAGAGCCAGTGGCGAGTTCTCTAACGTACCATTGCGCCATTGAAACAAATTGCTTCGTGTTCTTTTCAGTTCTTCTGAAACAGCTTACTTAACGTGTTTTCTTTGGTCATCTGCGATGAGCAAAATGTCGTTCTCATTCTTTGATCTATTATTATTAGCACTGGCAAAACGACTGCACACATCGTTTTTCTAATCAAAGCTGACAACTTTGATCCGATTGAATCCGGAGCGTTTAAGTATTAGATGAACAGACATCCTAAGCACAGATGGCTTCTAGATACCGCGACAGTGTGGGGCAATGCTGCCCAGGTGCTAATGGGCGCCTGGACTGTTGGTACTGGGATACAATAGCAATATTTAGTAGCCTTAAACTATTTGAACCGACGAGACGCAATGAATAATGTCGAAGCATTGTTAACAGTTTACCCACAACGATCCAGACAATTCGTATTTGGACGCGACTGAAACCCCGTGTTTTTGCGTGACAGGTTGTTAAATTTTTAAATTAGTTACAACCGGCAATATCTAACGGCAATCATCAAGGTAAAAACTCTTCACTAGAGAGGCAAAGCTCGATCAATGAAACGATTTCTTTACCTTCGTACAGGTAGCGTAAGACAAAATCTAAGTGTCTCTTTATTATTATTCAAGAAGCTAGAGCTGTGTAGCATTGGTTATTATTAATTGTTTGCACATAAGTAGAAGAACTTGTGTCTGTGCTTGGTTTGTTTAATTCATGCCAATATACAAAATATCCTTAAATGCGCTAAAATTGTCTCCCACTTCATTTCTTTTTGTTAAAAAATTGAACGATGATAAGTGAAGGATGAATAAGTTCATTTTCAACTTACCTCAGCTACTAACCGCATCGAGTATCTCTATTACAATAGACTACAATACACAATCTACATACAGTGTTACATATGGTAGAGCAATGACCATGACAATGTAGCTCCTCATCTGAATAACCTGTAGGAGTGAGCGGCCTCTACTTAAATCCTATGTCACGCCATCTTTGTTTCGTAGCTAGGTTTCGGCGTGCAGCATTTCACAGATACCCACGCGCAGACGGACAGACCGGACTTCAGCGAAGCACACGACACTGTGATTGATTTCTTTCACTGGCTATTTGAGTCGAAGTTAAGAAGAGATCTGCTCAACGGCAACGCCTAAGCATTTAACAATTATTTTCAAGGCTGAGAAGCGTACACGTCCCTCAAGTCTATCACTAAGAAATCACCTAAAGAAGATGATGCGCTGCTTTACCGTCGCAACGAATAACGAAAATTCCAACGAATCAAATTGACAGCTGGCGCGTGCTTAAGCACACACCCAATACTACACGTTGCTAATCTTCCTCGCGCCTAATTAAGGGACGCTAGGCCATCAAATCTCTTGAGATAGCTGTTGTCGCTGTCACAGAAGTACCTTGCCATCATAAATACCGCGGGTACAGGGGGAATTTCATTGTTCACTGACGAACGCAGTCTAGAGATGAGAGACGGATGAACGCGAAGAGGGTAATAAGCAATGAAGTTACACAAATATGTTAGACCTAAATAATCAACCAGTGACCCGTTCTTCGTATAGTGCCCTGTTTTTGTAACCTAACCGCCTTTCATACTAGTCTCACACTCGTACCTCAGTTAAACCCCACTACTTGGTTTACGATGATAAAACTTGCCCGAAGTGAAAGTGGAAATAGCACCAAGTATGCAAAGAGGTGTTCTCAAAAGTCGGAACAGCTCTTGACCCCAATAACAGTCGAAACAAATCAAAGATAGACATGGATGACTGGCAGCGGCAATACGGGGCCCGTAGCGAATGCTCGGTCGTCTAGCGTACAGTTCATGAACATCTCCAGCAGCTCTTCCAGCCTGTACTGTTTCACGCGCATCCCGTACCTCGACGATAGCAGATGTACGATAATAGATGTGTTGCGGAACGCTTATATAGCAAAGTCACTAAATAAAAGACTAAATTACGCAGGTTCAATGCAACATGTCAGTGGCCAAAAGCCAGGCTTTCTGTACGTGCCTTTTGCGTGCCGCGCCGAAACACACATGCACCTTTGTGTACGCAAACGTACACACGATTGTACTAGGGGCAAATTAATTTTCGTATCGCTGTGTCACACAGAATCATTGCGTTTAACAATCTACCACAATGATTCTGTGTGTGTGTGTGTGTGTGTGTATACCAATTCTTAAACTGTGTAACTCTTTTAGCAACACAAATACACAAGTAATGTATTGAAACAATTGAGGTATAAAGGCGAGCTTAGGATAATTAAGCTTGTAGCAATATGCTCTTGAGCTTCATCACTGAGCCAAGGTTGTTAGACTTCCATACGATCAGCCATTAGACCTGAATGAATTGATGTTTATAACCGAGAATTTTTTTTCGTTGCGACCTGCTTATGTATGTGCAAATTCACCGCAAATATCATAAAAATTCTATCTGTTATTGTTATTATTATAAAAAGCAGGATAATTGTAAAAAAATGGAGAAGCGAAATAAACCGGATTCGCTTATGTTTAACTATTATTATTATATTATTGTGTTATTTCACAAATTTACTTTGACGATACGTGACTGAGTAAAAAAGTAGTTGCAACCTGTGCTGGTATGGTCAAGAGTTTGTCGTATAATCTTTTTTCATAGATAACATAACCAGTGCCACAGAGACACTAATAGAAATAAAACACATTTCACACTGGAACCCAGATAATGCAGGGCAAAGTAAGCCCCCACCCGAAAAGCGTCAAACCACAGAAGTTATAGCTGTCCAATGTCATTGGCCTTCAAACTTTTCATCTAAAAAAACAACACTATGGGGTACAGCATCAGAAAACCTGGTCGATAAACAAATGACTGGGTATGACCGCGACAGCATCCATTCTACCAAATTTGTTCTTAAAGGAACTCCAGTAGCGACATTGCCTGATCAAAATTCCGAAGCTTTTGCTTCGAAGGTATTATGCACGTCTGCTTTTTTTTTTGGAAAATATTATATAACTGTGAGAATACCTATGTTTCCGTCGTAGCGTGTACGAATTTGACATCAGAGTCAACTATGTCTGTCCATACAGCTCCACGATAACGTCACTACTGGTAAAAACAGTAGTGGGTGGGGGTATTGTTTGTTACCGCCGTGAATCTCTTAGCATCCATTGTTAATCATCGTTGAATTTTCGTAAACGATCTATTACAGGCCTGCTTCAGATAAACTGTTATGCATAAGCACAGTTGCGAGTATTTCATGCCCATTTCTTCTTATCTATTTGCATTGTACCACTTGTCGCTCGAATAAATTTATGTACTTCTGTCTAGAAGCACTCGTACTCACTGTGTAAGGCGCCGTCCTGGTGCCATTGGTCGGACAGTCATATTGCAACAATTATAAGGCTTCGAGTATCTAAGCGGCTCTTAGGCGATCTCGTATTTTTATTATTTTCATTGTATTTTTGACTGCTCTCAGGGTAAAAGCTACACTTTTTTTATAAGGTGAAGGCTGTACGGTGTTCCGAACGGCCGTTACCAATTAACTGTTCTGAGACTACTCATTGCCAAACGTCCTTGAAC